ATATATATATATATATATATGTAAATATTGTGTTCACATTTGTAGCTATCCAATACCGAAAAACAGAAACTGAGAGCACATTAATCGAAACGAAATTGAAATCAAAAATTAGAAATGACATCGTAGCGGGGACTCCCGCTAAATTTATATATATATATATATATATATATATATATATATATATATATATATATATATATATATATATATATATATATATATATATATATTTAAATAACTAAATATAAACAAAGTTTGTGTTTATAGCCAAAGAAACAAATAGAAAATAATTTAAATCCCTACAATGCATTAGCAATATTTTGTGACATCTATAATTGGAATTAACACAGCTCGAGACTGATTTTTTACTTTATTTCAATTTCAAAATAATTTGTACCAACGCTACAATTTATATACAAGGCCCAAGGAACAGCTGATTGTTACATGCCTCATTAATTTGGCCACTGACTGTAAGAACTATAAAACTACAAACATGCATACATACCCATGCACACACACATACATAACAAAAGTTCCAAATACGCGCCATTTAACTATTTTCAACGACTGCTCTGCATTCAAATTCGCAAAATTTACATTTAATAATAATTACAATTTTAAATGTGGCATTGACTCGTTCGATTTTTTATCTGCTCTCAATGGAGCAGACGCATGGCAGACGTACGCGTGGGCGCCGTTAGTGAACAATACACAAACCGACAAAGAGAAGAGGAAGCAGACCGAGCAGCATAGGAACAAAAACAAACAAGCAGCACATTTTTAGATAAATATAAATGAGAGGAATATATGAAAGTAGCAAGCAAAATGAATAAAGATATGTGCATGTGTATGTGTAACCAATATATACATATATATGTATGCGATGTACAGCAACAGCAACAAATTGAAGCGTCACAGTTGAGTGCGCGCACAAAAGAACCAAGATAGAGCGAGAAACAGAGAGCGAGAGCGGCGCACAGCAGAAGAAGCAGCACCAGCTTATCAAACACTGCTCAATGTGGAGAGAATGCTGAGACAAGTGAAAAAGTCAAAGGCATTGGAATGCGCAAACCAGAAAGAACAAAAAGTTAAAAATGAAAAAAAAAAAAACAAAATAAATAAAAATAATAAAAACATTGCATTGTACATTGTTTTACGAGTAACTAAATTGTTGAGACATTTTGGCTTGGGTTGCTGCTGCTTGCTTTTTTCTCATAATCACACACACACACAAACAAGGAGAGTGCAAATTTCTGATTACAAATTGAGAAAATGCTTTATGTGCGCAATCTTCTGCTGATTAGATAATATGTTAGTACAGGATGTGCGCGTATGCACATTGATACGCTAATATATATGTATATTAATCATATTAGAAGTTATTGTTAATTTATTATAATCCAACAGATAGAGCATGCACATACACGCATACAATCTGACTTTTGTTTGCCACGTTTTATACGCTCAGAGTCACGCTCTCTCCCTCTCTTTGAGATAAAACAGGGTCGTTACTGCGCTCAAAACCCAAGCAGCTGCTGCTACTATGGAAATTTTTTCTACCATCTTTTCGTTTGAAGCAAGAAAAATAAAAGTAAATATAAAACTTACACGTGACATTATCATATATATTTTTATATAATTTAAATACATATAAATACCAATGCACATGTGTATGTACACTTTACTTTTATTTTGTATGTAAATTTATCTACTACTATTTTGACACTGAGTTTGCGCAGGCATGTGGGTGTAAATTTAAGTGTGCGTATGTGTGTGTGCGAGTGCTTACATGTGTAAGGCACTTTGTGTGCGTGTGAAGCATGTTCTGAAATCGTAATAACGAGCACAAAAACAACAGTGGGTACTGATAGAAGCTTAAAAAGCAACGCCCATTGTGTGCGATATTGACAGCCAATGAGTCAGAATCCGTCACACTCTTTGAGCTGAATCAGTTAACTGCTGCAGTGCAGCATGAAAAAGTCGGCAGCTTGAGTGCTGCTAAAACTTTTTTGCTCGCTCTCTTTTTATTAACGATCGAGTGAGCGATTCAATAGCGTTGCCAGATATTGCACAAATATTCAAGCCGAGTGCACTTTACATGCTGACAGTATCTGATTTTTCACAACTTTTTTTCCAATCTTAAAAGTGAATTATGCTGTTGATTTTAATTACATAACGGCTGCGATATCATTGTTGCCATGTCACAAAGACGTCCAAGCGCTATCTAGAAATTTATATACAGCGTTACGCTAATCATCAAAGTAAATATTAAAGCAAAGCAAACTGAGTTGTTGATTTTTTAAAGGAGGGGGAAATCACAAGACTAATTTTGATGCATGACATAATAATTATGTCATTGACTTCTGTCTTGTTTATTTATCCAAATACCTTAAATAGGTTACAGCTCTATTTGATATGTTCAAAAGTATTGCTATATTCTCTTATAAACATTTGAGCTACTTTATAGAATAGTAGCACGCGCCTGCTACTCTTTAATTCTTTTTTGCTTTACGAAAAAAAAAACAAGGCTCTTTTATCTTATCGCCAAGTCAAGTTATTGGTAAATAAGCCCGTACTACTTATCAGCTGAGGCAGGTAGAATATGTGTATGATATTTGATAGCCTAGGCATGTGATGCCTCTAAGTCTTCGAGTCGATTGATCATGCAAGGGCTGATGAAGCAAAAGAAGGAGGTAAGAAGTGGCATGTGATTACGGTTTATTATTATGATTACTATTGTGCTATAAGCACTAACAATGCAGGGCGATTAATCATGTGTACGTAGCGAACATCGTGATCAGATAACCATGGGTTTTTTGATTGAAAATCATGTACGTTAACCTATTTATATGATTTTTCTGATGTTTTTATAAATACATTTCATGTGAGGAAAAAATGCACTTAATAACACATTCACAAGCTTTATCATACACGCCACTATACTATCAACATTAGTGCATTCTTTATATCTCCGGAAGCCCCATCCATGCAGTTACGCTCTTTTTTCTACATTCATTAAAAACATAAACCAAGAAAAATTGCTTTTGTATGGCAACACCAAAAAGTTGGTCTTGTGACTGTGTGAAAAGGTAAGCGCGCGAGCTTCGCGTCACAAACTTCAAATATAATCAGAAACTCTTGCACACTCACACATAGAACTGAGAGAACAATGACAATGCCTGACAGAAGAGCGTGCGCAACTCTCTCGCTCTCCGCAATTTGCTCTTTGCATTTATACGCCGCTCACTGCCCGATGTGTGTGTATGAGTAATGCCGTTTTTAGCATGTTGAAAAAATAAAAGCAGAAAATTTCTAATTTCGATGCTGCCATTTTTGTGTTTGCAATAAAGCAATTAAATGCGCATAACATTCATACAAAATTCAAAAATAATTGAATTTGTTTTTATGTAATATGCGTGCGGTTAACTATTCTGGCAAAAATATGGAACTTTCCTTTTCCCTTTTTTTGCTAGTCACGCGCATTGCGAACGAACTAAAACTCAACACAAACACATGCACGACTACTGTTATACATGTACGTTTCTGACTACGAGTGTATTGAATTTTTGTACACTTGCCGCTGCCGCCTGCCAGCTACAAACAAGCCAACGTATATGCATACATACATAGGTACTTTTTTTTTGCTGACTAGATATTCTTCTTCTTGCATTTACGCCACACAATGTTCGATTTTTCTACGCATGCAGCGCTGCGTATCCCTTTTGTGTACGAATTCTTTTAATATTACGAATTGGTTAAAACTTACCTGAGAAGATAATGGCGGACGCAGCGCCCATAACACCGAAGAAGGGGCCATAGATTGGATTGTCGGCGCTCGTACTTGTAGACATTTTGCTTTGTTTTTGTGTGTTTTAGGCTACAAGATGAAAATTTAAATTAAATGTTTTTTGTTAATGCTTTTCGTTTATTGCACTTTTTTTTATTTTTTATTTTTATTATATATCGCGCGTTTTGCTTTGCAAGTTAGAAAAAGTATTTTTATTACATATACAATATATGTGTATATAAAATTTTCTTGCGCTACTTTTTAAACAACAATGCTGCTACGACGACGTACGATTTGTGAGTGAGCGTGTTGCGAGAGAGCAAAAACACTCATCGCTCGCCTCACAATTATTGAATTTTATCTCGACTTTGAGTGTGTCTCTGAGAGCCCTTACGTGTGTGTCGAAGTCATGTGCCTAAGTGTGCGTGCGTATGAGCGCATGACGAAATGAGCTCAAATAAAAAGTCCAATTGGCAATGACAAACTCGCTGGAAAATTACACACACGCATACAGTCACATGCGCATTCACACGAGTTATTTAAAACTTCTTTTTCAAGCACAATCATCAATATTTGCAAGTTGTTTCCGTTTCTAAATCAATTTCTTTTTATATTGAGTGAAATGTACAGCATTTCTCTCGCCGCGCACACTCTTACAGCTACATTCATTGCCATTGGTGTGGTGTGTGCATGTTTGTGTGAGTGTCGTGGCAGAAAATACTCTTGTACCAATTTATAAAAGGATTTTTTATGCCATTTTCTATTTTCTTTTATTTCGTTTACAAGTTGTCGCAGCAGCATCGTTTTTATTTGATAAGATCTTTTTCGATTGAGCCTCACATGACTTGATTGTTTTTTTTTCACTCACGTGATTAGAAATCTAATTCAAAGCAATTCGCTTCTGTGGCTGGCCTTTCGGGTTTATTGGTGGCTGCTGCTGCTGCTAGGCGACTAAAGCACGCTCTGCTTTTGGATACGGCACTGAACTCCTACGGTGCGTTATCGTTTTCTTTTATAAACTTTAGTCACGGGGGCGGTTTTTTACAGTGCTGCTGTTTTTTTTCTTATCGATATTATTGTTAAATATCGTTTTACAGTACTGATATGTGAACTACCAAGACAGCCTGCGAAATTTCTTGGTATTTTAAAGAGTTAGACAGAAATGCATTCTGATATATTTGGTATATGGGATATTGTGGCCATTTTTATTGTCACGGTATTTTTTATTTATTTTAAATTTAGGTATTTTAGAACTGATTTAGTATTTTTCTAATGCTTTTGATAACAGAGTGTTCATATTAGTGAGTAACATGCGCGGATCTTCCGCAAGACCTGCGCCAACCATCGCATTGGCAAACAGTTGCTTGGTGATCAGCTGTGCCAATTCCGGTTCTTTGGTACGCAAGCTAAATAACTTCTTAATGATGGGATGTCTACAGGAAGATAAATTAAATAATGATATATATATATATATATATATATGATATTTTGGTTACTCACTTGGGATTGATCTCCAGCTCTGGCTGCAGTAGTGCAAAACGATTTTCTTCTGGAAGGTGATGGCTCTGAGTGCGTATAAAATGCCGCGCAGCGGCCATTTCCTCAACAGTGATGACGCAGGGATGTGTATCCAAACGTGTTGTGGTCTTCACATTGGCTACCTGACCCTTCAGCTGATCCTGCAGCCAGGGTATAAGGCTATTCAGCTCAGTGCCCACCAGACTGTCATCGCCAAAGTCTTGCAGTGCAGCCGGATCACGTGACTGATTACGCATCTCCTTCTCAACGGACACCAGCTTTTTATTCTTGTACTGTCCCAGCTGCATGAGCACCAGTTCATCGTAGGGCTCGTAGCAGAAGAGCACGAGCTCATCTCGCTTCTTCAAACTTTCGTAGTAGGGCGACGATTCGGCAAGGACACGATTAGGGGCCGCCAGATAAAATATTTCCTTCTGATCAGGACCAACCGAGGTGTAGTAATCATCCAGTGAGATCCGACTAGTGGCCGACTTTGAAGATTCGAAGCGCAATAGCTTGGCAATTTCCTCCTTTTCAGCGCTGTCGGTGGACGTAACAATGCCCTCCTTTAAGAACAGTCCATAGTCGCGATAGAAGGCCTCATATTCTTCTGGCTGTTTCTTAGCGCGTTCCTGTAGGAAACGGATGACTCGACTGGAGATAACACTGGCCAGCTTGCGTATCAGACTATTGTTTTGTAGCAATTCACGACTCAGATTCAAGGGAATGTCCTCGGAGTCGACTACGCCCTTGATAAACCGTAGCCACTTGGGCAGCAAGTGTTCCGTTTTAGACTGTATCAGCACCTTGCGCGTGTACAGAGCCACGCCCGTCGTGCCATCTCGTGACATTTCGAACAGTCCGGGCTTGCCTTCTGGAAAGTAGAGCAGCGCATGGATGCTCAGAGGAACATCTGCATTGTAATGTAGAGTGAAACGCGGCGAATCAAAGCTGTTGCTTATAAAGCGATAAAAGTCTTGGTGCTGCTCCTTGGTAATGCTTTGCGGGTCCATTAGCCATAGTGGCTTGATCTCGTTCGCCTGCTTACCGTTCAGCAGAATGGGTGAGCCCACGAAGTTGCTGTATTTCTTGATCACGGTGCGAATACGATCCTCATCCGAAAATTCACGACAGTCGGTCTTCAGATGAAGAACGATCTTGGTACCGTACTCTACATCCTTTGTTTCCTCAATGGTATAGGTGCCGCTGCCATCTGTAGACCAGCGCAAGCCAACCGCATCGGGACTAGCTGCTCGAGTATAAACGTCCACACGCTGAGCCACTATGAAGGCAGAGTAGAAACCCACACCGAATTGTCCAATTATATTTGAGCTGGTCTGAGCCGCTTGTTGTTGCTGCTTGAGCTCCTCTAGGAACTGTTTGGAACCACTGCGCGCAATGGTGCCTAAATTGCTGATCAGTTCCTCACGTGTCATGCCTATGCCTGTATCCTGGATGATGAGCTGCATCTGTGGCTTGTCTGTGGTGATGCGTATTTCCAGAGCACGATCCTTGGCAGCCAGTTGCGTTTCATTTGTTGTACTTAGGGCCGTATAACGGAATTTTTCCAACGCATCGCTTGCATTTGAGATCAACTCGCGCACAAACACTTCATGATCCGAGTACAGGGATCGAGCGACAATGTCCAACAATTGCCTTGTCTCTGCTTGAAACTCATGCCTGTCCGTTTTCGAGGATTCTTCGGCAACGGTACCAAGGCGACGCTGTGGTAAAACTATAAAATAATGACAAATAAATCATGATACTCTGCACACATAATGGTAACCTACTCACCAGTCGGTGATAGCGACTGCTGCAAAGTCGATCTTAACGCGAAGGTCGCTGCGCGATTTGCTTGCCGGCATAGCTGTGTCATTTGGCGGGCCCTTAAAAGTACTCCATACGCACGTAAACTCATTTTGTTTTTTTTTTGTTTTAAATCAATGCACTGTCTGGTTGAAATACACTAAAAAACGTAATATAATTTATTTTGTGTTAAAACAAAGCTGGAATATGAATGTTATTCAACTCTCTCACCGCACATGTGTTTCTATAATCGAAAATATGTTATCGATAACATCTCTTTTTTGCGTTCATTAACACTGGTTTTCAAATGGGCATATGTTTAATAAATTTGAAATTGAAATAAGTTATGTCTTAGTGTCAATAAATATGCATTTTTTTATATTTATGGAACATTTTTTATTTTAAAATTTATTTTGCATATTATTTTAATTTGTATTTAAAGGTATAATGTGTATTTGTTTTTATATACTATATATTCTTAAATTGCATAAATCCAAAAATACTTTCCCAAATGTTTAGTTTTTTAATTTTCATCATAATTATCATACAGCAATTATACTTATTTAATGAAGTACAAATAACATTTGAGCCAGCCTAAAGCGATTGCCCATGCTACATTCTTATCAGCAGTTTAGAATTTCGCGTATAGCTTAAATAATTTAGCATCAAGCAATTAGTTTATAATTCAAGTTGCTGAAAGCAAGGCGCTTGTCAATAAAGCTAATCTACGCTTGATATTAATATGCATTCTTGTGTGCTTTTAACCTTAGTTCTAAGCGCAGCATCTCTTGCCGTTTCCGAAGACAACTTGAATGAACAGGTGAACAGTCTACATATCTTGTAGGTATAGAAAGTGAAATTTCTCTATAAATAATATATAGCCTGATCAGGAGAACGAATGTGCGCCGTACTGCTTGAAGGTCTTTCTATGGAACACTGTGACAATGAACAAGAAATTGGAAGCGTGTGACAAAAAGAATATGCAAATTGCAGCAATGCAGAGCCAATTGGCGGTTTTAAAATTGAAGGAAAAAACTTACGAAAAAACAATCAAAGATAAGGATGAGCTGTGTAAAAGCCAAGCACAACTCTACGATGATGTATACTTAATTAAGAACAAAATTGAAAACTTGGTTGATCAAACGGAAAGGGAAAGCAAACAGCTTGTGGAATTGTTGAAACAATTAGAAGTTTACAGAGGCACCATTGAGATGAGAGATGAACGAATAAAGTCTTTAGAGACAGCTTTAGAGGTTAATAGCTTTATTCTCGAGAGATGTAGGGCTAATTTTTCATCCAGTCCAGCAGCACTGATGGTAATGGACTCCAAGCGGGAGATGGCAGTGAAAGTTTACGAAACAAGTTGCATAAATATCGGAATCTCTTCAGATATATGGGAAATTAAAGTTCCAGGGATCGAGCCCTTTAAGGTGCCGTGCGATGGGAAGATTGCAGGTCCTGGCTGGACAGTAATTCAGAGGCGGGTGGACAATACAGTGGACTTTAACCGAAACTGGACTGAATATAGAAATGGATTTGGCGATCTCAACGGCAACTGGTTTATAGGCTTGGAAAAAATCCATAAAATGACAAATTCCAGGCCACATGAGCTGTATATACATTTGGAAAATTTTAATAAAACAACTCGATTTGCTCGCTATGATAACTTCAGTATAGGTAACGAAGATGATGCTTACCAGCTCAAGGTTTTGGGAAAATTCTCTGGAAATGCTGGCGATTCATTGACATTTGAACGAGATATGAAATTCACCACTTTCGATCGAGATAACGATAAACGCAATTTCGATAACTGCGCAATAGAACGAAGTGGCGGTTGGTGGTACAACCAGTGCTCAAGATCGTAAGTTATTACAAATATAAATATAAATGTGTTTTTTATTTTACTTAAATTTAAATTTAGAAATTTAAATGGAAGGTATGTGGAAACTGAAGCAGATAAATGGGATGGCATTTGGTGGTGGAGTTGGCAAGAAACAATTACTCTTAAGTCAGTGCAAATTTTAATTAGGCCAACGACAACAAAATAAGAAAAAAAATATAAATATAATAATTCAGCATCTCTACTTAATTCTTATTAATCGCTCTTAAAAATAAAAATTATAATAAACAACAATATTTCTGATATATGATTTTTATCTTCTTATTACTTAAAAGTTTTCGTGGCCCCACTAAAGTAAGTTTTTCTAACTATCGATACTTTTTTATTTAATAAAAAAAAGTTAATACATGATTAATTTATTACTTGTGAGGGTGTGTGTGTGTTTTTAATCATGACATGTTTAAGTTCTTGCGCCAATAAGTGGAGTTGCACAATATATCGATTATCTTTTTCCCATAATCGATTGTCATTATAATATGATATATCGTTCCATTGTCCGCACAGCATTTGTTAATGTCTAATTGCAACCCTGCATCTAAAAGCGCGTCGTCTTCGCGTTGTAGTTGTATTTATTGTTGAGTTTTTCTAGTTTTTTAACTAATATAAGTGAGTGTGCGCGCAGTATTAGAGTATAGAATGTACAACTTGTGTTGCTTTTCGATTTAAATACCCAAAGTATGACGTCCATAGATAGTGTACGCGTGCTGCTTCAGTCTCTGCCAGCAGCATCGCCTGCTGCTGCCAACAACAACAACAACACACAGCAAAATGAGTCGACGCCGGCAAAACTTGGCGCTGTGGGAACACCATTGCGCGCGAGAAATACACAGCAACAACAGCTACAAGCACAACAGCAGCTAATTTTTGGAACGCCAGAAAAGTCGCAACCTGGAGTGGCACCTGCAACTGAAGAGCAGCAGCTAAGTGCTCCGGACGAATTTTGGCGTGATTTGCATCAGTTTCATGAGCGACGCGGGTAAGCAACGTTTTAGCATGCTAAAGCTAGTCTTTACTTAATTTGATTGTCAACAGCACCCCACTGACGCAGGCGGCCAAGATTAGTGGCCAAAATGTGGACTTGTATCGTCTATATCAAGAGGTCACGGAACGCGGTGGCTTTAATAAGGTCAACATGCGCGACGAGTGGGACGACGTGTACAGCGCGCTGGACACGCTGCGGGATCGTTGCGTTAATGGCACCGCTGGTATAAAGCATATCTACCGTCGCTATCTGGATAAATACGAGCGCCTAAACTTTTTGGGAGAGGATCCGGACAAGCTGGAAGCCTTGGAGGCGGCCATCGAGTGCGTTGAACTGGGCGCCAGCGCCAGTCGCGCGCGCTCTCGTGCCTTGGCCGGCGGTGTCATTGGAGGTGCAGGTGGCAGCTTGACAGGTAGTGGACTGGGAAGCATTTTTGGCATGGCACACTCTACGCTGACAGCCGTTCCCATGGCGTACAATCAGCGCCAGCACATGGTGAATGCGGATCGCCGTCGTCAGTACAAAATGTCGACACAGCTGCACAAGCACAGCACCTATGACAAGCTGCTGTTGTCGCTTCTATCGCCGCTGCCTAACGAGCAGGATTTTGCCATCAATGTGTGCACACTGATGGCCAACGAGCCGCGGTCAACTCTGCAACTGACCGAGTGCCCAAAGCTCCTGGATGTCTTGCTAGCTCACTTGGGCGTCTATGCGGATTACAGCATGCGTCAGCTATTCCAGCATGGCCACAACAATGCGGGCATGTTGGTGCGAAGGCATTCGAAACTTAATTTTTGGCGGGATTTGCTGTACGATAAGCCACAAATTCTGGACTTGTATACGGATGAACAAGCATGGCTGGACAATGGTCTGATTAGCAAGGAGAGTGACTGCGATGAATATCTGTTCCAATCCGATGAACTCGATTTCGAGCTAGACTTTTTGAATCTGCGTCGCAGTCATGGCACGGACGAACGCATTGGTCAGCGAGTGCTACAAATTGTGCAGCTATTGAGAAGCTTAAGCTTCCATCAGGAGAACGTCCCGCTACTTGCGTCCAATCGTACGCTCTGGCGATACTTGGTCATGGGCGCCAATGTGCGCTGGAGTAAGTAACAAGATGGAGAAAAAATCCATCAGATGTAGATCAACACTTGATAGCTAAACTCATACACATCCTCTGCTTTGCTCTTTCAGGCAACATTCACATTCAGGCTTTGGAAACGGCTGGCAATCTGGCGCAGCAGTTCGACTTACTCGATCCTGCTACGGACGAGCTATCGCGGAATCTGCTGGCCACACTTTGCGAGGGTATCGAATCGAATGATCGTGCCGTTATAATCAGCTGCCTGGAGATACTTTACAAGCTGTGCGGACGCGAGGGCAATGCCCAGCACATAAATCGATGCCTCGGCTTGGATTTCTATCAGCGGGTTATGCTGCTGCTGTCGCTGACCGATGTGATGTTGCTTATCTTTACCCTGGAGGCGATCTACGCCTTGAGTACCCTGGGTGCTCGTCCATGTTCCATGTTGATGCAGGTGCGTGGCCTGCTAGATCAGTTGGTAGCTTTGCTAACTGTCGAGGCGCAGTCGTACGGCGCTGCTGGCTGCATACTGATGCGAGTTGTTGAGGTGGTGCCTGGTAACATATTGTCTACATTATCACAACCTGCGCCCAGCAATCAGATGACTCCGTTGATGACGGTTAAGCAGCCACAGCCTCAGCCACAGCCACAGCCGCCTGCGCCAATTGTGTCTCTGCCTCTACCAGCACCAACACAGGTGCAAGTGCTGCCGCCACAGCCGGAGACTGTTTCGCTTCCTGTGGCTGCCCCAGCTCCTGTGACTGCTCCTGTTGCCATACCTGCTCCTATGCCCCTGCCTATGCCTGTGCCAAGCTTGCCCCAAGTGCAGCTGCCAGTGCCTAGTTTGCCGCAGGTACAGCTTCCGCCACCGCCCACCCAACAAGCACCAGCTCCACCTGCTCCAATATCAGTAGCAGCCACTACAGTTGCGCTGCCTGCAGCGCCATCAGCGCCGCAAAGCTTTACGCACGACGACGAGACCTATGCGCTGGCCTGGCTGGGCGCGACCTACGAGCGAGCCGGCAACGGTCATGAGTATCGCGTGGAGCAACAGGAGCTGTACACCATTTACCTATCGCATTGCCAGAAGGCGGGTAAACTTTCGGTGGTCAACCGTCTGCAATTTCCGCGTCTCGTGCGACTCATCTTCAATGCAACCGTGGGACCCGCCATTGTGCGACAGATGGATGGCACGGAACTTCCCGGGACGCACTACGTGGGCATAAGGATGCGTGCACAACCTTTGCCCATGCAGCAGCAGCAGCAGCAGCAACAGCAGCAACAACAACAGAAAGTAACAACAATGCCTACCGCAATAGCTGCTAAAAAGGAACCAACGCTGACCCCAAAGCCGGACTCAAGTGCTGAAGCGGCCGAGGAAGTGATTGTCTCGTCCACGCCCAGTTCCTCGCTGATTAAGAGTCTTCTGGCAAGCAAGGTTAACGAGCGACAGTTGAAGCAAAAGGCGCAGGCGCAGCCGCCCGCTCTTGTGGCCACCACAGCCTCATCAACTGGCTCGTCAGCCGGACAGCCCATTAAAGTAACCTCCACGGCAATTAGCGCCTTTGTTAATAATCCGTTGATGCAGCACACGCCTGTGAAGGTGGGGCAAACCACCATAAAGCCCTTGCATCCACAGTTGCCAATGGAGAAGAAGCCAATGACAGACTCGGCGCCTCCGCCGCTCGCTCCACTAAGTGGGTCCAATGTGTTAACAAAGGATGCGCAAGGGCGCACCGTAATTATACAATCCAAGCGGAAGCTCACCATCGATGACGAGCAAAACAAGCGGTTGGCATTGGACAGCACCAATGTGGCCACTGGTAAGGATGAGCCGCAGGTGACGCCCTCCAAGAATGCTGCCAATCTCTATGCAGACTTGGCTGCCTCTATACTAGAGGACGAGGACTTGGATGACGTGCCGCCGTTGGCAGCGTCCAGTCAAGAGCAACAGCAAGCGCCACAGCCACAGCCCCAGCAACAACAACAGCAGCAATTGCAGCAGCAGCAACAACAACATCAGCAACAGCAACAACAATTACAACTGATACCTGCTAAGGTGCACTCGACACAGCGGCAGCTCATCTTTCCCACTGGCAACTCGGTGGCGCCCCCGCCGCAGTTAAAATTGGCCACAACGGCCACCATTAAAACGGATCAGGGCCTACAAACGGTGCCGGTTATATTGCAGCAGAAGACAGAGCAACAGCAGCAGCAGCAGCCAACGCAAACACAGTACGTGCTGGCGACCAATCAGCAGGGGCAAACTTATTTGGTTGCTCAACAGTCGGCGCCCGTGGCAGCATCAGCTAATGCGCCAGGCACACCCACTCTGCTAGTTGCTCAGGCGCCGCAGCAGCAGACGAAAACGATAATCATATTGCAGCAGCCGCCGGGAGTGAGCACCAGCAATGCGCCTGGCACGCAGAAAGTCATAATGACGACAGCGCAGGGGCAACAGGTGCTGGTGACGACCACCACAGCACCTGCGGCGGCGGTGCGTCCGGCCACCCAGGTCCAGCAGCAACAGCAGCAAATTTTTATAAACCCGCAACGAGCAGTGACCGCCGCATTGGGCGCGGGTCAAATGTCGCCCTCTCTGCTCTCACAGCTTAATCAGATACCTGCAACCATAAAGCTGCATCAGCCGCAACCAGCGCAACCCGCGCAGCTGCATCGCGGCGGCATTGTTGCTAGCAAAACAGCGCCCATACCTCAGCTACAGCAGCATCAGTCCATCATACAGCAGCATATCATCTCGAGCCCTGCAGCTGGCGTAGACAAGCGGCAGCTGCTGCTGGGCGGCATCAAGGAGACAACGCTCATTACCCAAACGCCCGCAACGGCTGCCCCGTTGCAGCAGAGTCAACTTAATTCGCAGACAATCATAACCACTCAACCACCGGTGGGGACCACATCAGTTGTGGGCGCTGCACTGCAGCAGCAGCAGCAGCACATACGCAACGTGCTGGAGCAACAGCAGCAGCATCATCCCTCCATAATACAGCAGAAGATCACGATGCCCACAGCGGTAAGAACTGGCAACTAGATTGAATGTCTGATGTTATTATAATTTGTTTATGTAGCTCACGGATGCAGCCAAAGTGAAGCCGGTGCCAGCAATACCCATTGCCAAGAAACCAATGCCGCCGCCCACACCATCTCCTTCTCCTGCACAGCAGCATCCGGTGCAAATGCCAGGGCTGAAGCCCAGTCCACAAGGGCAGGTGGTCAGCGTCGAATCAAAGCCTTCAATAACAGTTGAATCAAAGCCAGCGGAGCAACCAACGGCTACAGCAGTAACGGTTGTCAACAATCCGGTCGCATCGACGGTTGTTGCCTCAGCAACAACAACAACGGCCACGAGTATTGTAACCAATGTGAATCCTTCAGTGGCGCCAGCTGTGAGCGCCGTACCCGTGGATGTAAATTGGCTGTTTATTTGCGATTGGCGTAATTGTCCGCGTCGGAAGTTTAAATCGCTCAACGAGCTGCAACATCACGTTTGCAATGTACACTGTCCGGATCATTTGGACTCAGGCGCTGAGATTTATTGCCAGTGGGGCAGCGGTCCCAGCTTGTGCGACAATATTGCGCGTAAGCGTTACTCGCTGATGACGCATCTCGTCGATCGTCATTTGGCACTGGATGATTTGCGAGCCAGCGTGCAACGGCGTCTTGCTACTGGCATACATAATGTGTCGCCCGCGCAGCCGACGGTGACTATAGTGCGCAATGTGGGAAACGCCAATGCGCCGGCATCTGCGGCAGCAGCTGCTCCAGCTACTGCAGCCACGGCTGTGGGAACTTCGGCCCTTCAGGCAATAAAACGGCATTCGGCTGACTTTCTGAATTCGAAGGAACTAATGGATGAGAACGAGGGTCCAGTCACAAAGAGCATACGACTTACGGCTGCTCTGATACTGCGGAATCTGGTCAATTACTCTTTGACGGCCAAACGAAGTTTGAAGCGTTACGAGCCGCACTTGGCCAATGTGGCCTTCAGCAATGTGGAGGCCAGTGGCGTACTATCCCACATACTACACGAGCTGAGTCAGTAATCTCTCTACGCAGGTCCTACAACAACTAATCAACTATATATATATATATTTATATATTGTATATGCATATACATAAATGTATTTTTCTACACCTCTCGATGGGTTGCTAAAGAACATTTTTTTAAACAAATAATTCTATTAACTAACGACACTATTAAATGTGAACAAATTAAATGAAATAATGAACAGTCGAATATATACATTGGCTTTTAGCATAGTTCAAATTCAAAATGTCGAGTAAGTATTGGAAATATCTTAAACTAAATAGTGTGAAGTAAAAATAGTATACATTTATAATGTTTAGAAATTAAAGACATTTACGTTTTCTTTACATTTATTTAGTGTAAATCTAGAGTCTACAGATTAATTTATTAGGCATCTCAGAGCACTGAAGCCTATTACATTTTTAAAAGTGTTTCGAGATAATTTAAATTCCAATCAATAGGGGTATATTAATAGGTATATCTTATACATAATTATTTAAATAAGAACTAATTTATAGAGCTTATTTAGACAAGTTGCCTTTGAATTGTCAGTCGCTGCCAGCTGAGCGGCCGCATGGCAGAAAGAAAGAGCAGTTTAAACTGCAACGCTTAGGACAGTAAAGCACCGTGGAAAGATCTAGTTGTATAAGTCCCAGAGTGAGATTTGTGCATCCATGCCGGCGGCAGCCATAATGGGTGCGTGCCACATGGACACCGGTTGTGTGGAGTAGGCGAGGTCCATGACGCCGCCTTGCTTGTGCTGCGTTAATACGGCCAGTGGTCTCAGGCTCTTCCACGAAAATATGCGTATGCGCCCGTCCCAGCCGGCGCTAGCGAAAACCTTTTGATCAGAACGTATACGCACGCAATTCACGCCGGGATTCTTGATGCACAAATCGGAGCCGCGTCGTAGTTGCATGGATTGTCTCTGATAACTAAAAGTAGTCAATTTATCGGCTGTGGTAAGGGAATATTATATTATTTTACATGTCTTAATAATATATCATGGTGTTCTTACAAGCGCCGCCAACTATGCCTCGATTTGTAATGGGGTCATAGTCAACAGTTAAAGCTTCCGGTGCTAGTTCCGTGATATCAATCATAACGCCGCTGCTCAAATCCCAGGTAAGAAAGTGCCCCGACTCGTAGCCGGCGAGTAGAAACAATTGTGACGCGCACTCAAACGGCTTGAAGCAGGTGACACTGCCTAGCTTAGGCAATTGCGGATCATCCGCTACAAGCATCTGTGTTGGCGCCGCCGGATCCGTTACATGCAGCACACCAATTGCTGCATCCTCGCACGGATAAAAGAGTAGCTGTTCGTTGGAGTTGTTCGGATTTATGTGCAGCGCTGTACGGCAATAGCCCAAGTGATTGCCCGTAATGCTGCGCTCCTTGACGTAGCTGCTGTTGCTTATGGAGAAGGTAGTGATTGTGCCACCCTTCTCTTGTGTGATCAGGTGCTCTTTGGTATGATGTAGACTCGTAATTGGCTCCGTGCCTGCCTCAAATTGCAGTGCTGAGCGGTTTGTCTACAAAAATCGATCATGTAATTTGTTATTTTTGTTGTTTCATTATTTAGGTTTTGTTGCTCACTTGTAGATCCCAGAGAAATACTTTGCCTTTGAAAGTGCCTGCCAGCAGACGTTCGCTTTCATGAAAGCATAGCGAATTCACAGCGCCCATTTCTGGGCAACGTAAGCTGAATACAGGATCAGGTGGTAACACAGCCATTTAAATAAGTGAATTGAATTAAATAAAATTAACTAAAGTGCGTTGCGTCGCAATGCCGATAAGATAAATAAATGATTGTGTGGTACGTAGTGGTGGCGAGTCGATTACGATATATGTGCATAAGTGTGATTTGAAAATACCCGCCAAATATGATAAATATTAGACAATTATGTCTTTAGATATGGTAAATTTGTCAGATCCCTTAACTGTAGAATTTGTTAATGAAATCTTTCAATAATTATGAATGTGAAATCCTTATAATTTAAAATCTATAGGCGTAATCAGCTGTTCATACATTGTTACACTACTAAGCCGCCAGATGTCGCTGCAGTATTGGCGCGTCATAGACACGTTCGAAAAAGCTTACGCATTCGATGAAACAAGAAATGGAAAATTGTTATCATTCATAGAACAGCCTTTAAGTGATGTTAATTCCAAAGATTTACCACGAAAATATCATAATATAAGGTTGAATGCGCACAAAGCGCCTGCTGCTATTAAAAAGCATTGCCGCGCGGCTTTAATGGACTTTACCAGCGTCCAGCGTCTGCGGCCTAGACGTTAAGGCAACGATCGTAAAAAGACTTGTCAGTGATAATTGCCCGAAGTGTAACAACCTAATGCGAACTTAAAAATAAAAATAAATAAAAACATGCAGGAAAGAAACTATAGTAAATACCGAAAAGCACTGGGAATTATGTGCCCAAATATCGCAAAGATCGCAAAATAAACATGCTATAAGCTCGTTAATCAATGCTAAGTTGACAGCTTTAAGTTGCTTTAACAATCTTCTGTTTTTTCTTAGTTTTTTTTTAATATTTTATTTTTTACCATCAACAACAACATAACTGAGTTTGCTTGAGTCGTCTCCTGTAGTGTCCAAATGATTTAGTATACCCTGTGTTAAGCCCGACCAAAAAGGGGAACGACCTATTTTTAATGCTAAGAAATTATGTGTTTGGCTTTTGGCTTTATATCAAAATCATATTTCAAATGCTTTAGAGCTTAGCTGGTTTAAGCAGAAAACTGTAAATTCGGACAAATGCTTTATTGTTAGATGAGAGAATACAAATTAAAAAAATAAAAAATATATTATTAAAAAATATATATTTTTTAAATGTAATTTCGTAGATTTTTTTAAATACATTTTTTAAAAATATTTAAATTTAAATTTAAATAAACAAGTTATGAATTTAATTTGAAAATTGTTAAATAAGTCTAAAATATTATTTTTTAAATATATATGTGAAATTAAAGCGCTAAGCCAATACTTCGTAAAGATATACACATTTTAGGCTAAACTCTGAAATGTTGATCTAATGTTATCCAGCTTATATATATAATAATATAAATAATATTAAGTTTGATCAATATTTGCTTAGTACTTCTAACTGTCTGAATTCCATGAATCAACCGCAAATCAATTTGCACTTCTGGATGATTGAACATTCCTCTCTATGCGATCCCTTCCCTAAATGCTCATGCATACATGTAATTGTAGTTTGATTGGGGCGCAACAAGTCAGCTCTCGCAATTAGCTGAAAGGATTGCTGTGCTGGTTAGTCGTGGCTAAAACTTCCTTTAACGGCAAAGCCAGTCGTAAAAAGGTTAAGGCCTCGCCTTAACACGCTGTGAACACATTTGCTTTGGTTTCGGCTTCGACTTGTATTGGTTCGGGCAGACGTCCGGAGCGTTGGGGGAATGGAGTACCAAGCTGATGGAGAGAGAAGTGCCATAAATCTTTTTGCCACAGCATCGAGGTGAGGCGTTTAGTGGTCCAAACTATTTATGCATGTTGCTATGTGGGTAATCCATTTGAAATGGGTCAACAACTACAACTGGCGACTCCTTAAACGATTCGCCTGACCCAGACCGAATCCAGTTTCAGTTTCTGTTTCTGTTTCTGTTTCAGTTTCAGTTGAGAGATGCTTAAAACATATTAGCTTGTTACCTTAATGAAGTCATAAATTTTCGCTATCGCCTTGGAGCATCAGCTGCAGGTTTCTAAGGAATTCCAATTCCTCTATTCACATTATTTTATTAAAATTTTTGTTTTTTTTTTTTTTTTTTTTTTGGCATACATCTGCATAAACATATCCCAAATCCATATATGACCAATGCTCGATAGTTAATCAGGCTTAGTTTGATATATGCTGACAGGGCCAACCTCTGGTGTAGGCCGCCAACTCAGCCCCCTTTGAAGAAAGCAAAGGGAGGGGGCTTCCTGCTGTGCCTGTTCCGCGTATCTGAGCAACTGGGCATCAGGGCATCTGGGCATCCGCTCATCCGTTTCGAGCTATGAAAATGAAGTTATCACGCGACATACAATGGCTCCCTCCGCATTGCCACCTATAACTTTATATGGTTGTCATTATTAGCCAGGCAATGAAATGGGCTCCCAGCGCATGCTGCCAACTTATTTATGCGCTACCTTAATGGACCCCATCTCGCATCTCGCAGCTCACATTTCGCATCTGAGTTTCTGGCCTGGACAGCATCGGGCTTTCCTCCTTATGAATCTGGCGTTTTTATAGCATTGTGTTTTGCATTGCCCATGAATCATATTGAGCGTATGGATAAACCACAATACGCTCCCAGGAACTTACTGGGCATCGATATAAGCCAAAGGTGTTGGAATTTTGATTTGCTTGCAACAATGCAGCATGGCATGAACTTAAAAACCCATAAGATAAATATAAGAAAAAGATGCTGTGGGTATATAGGAAATATTTATCACATCATTTTTAAAGAAAAAATAAAATATATTGAAATTGATTTCTATTTACCTGATTCAGCGATTTACCTGATTCTTAAGACTTTCTTAATATGTCTTGAGTAACACTAGATTCTTACGTTCTCTGTATAAGCGTGACAATTGGCTGAATTCCGCTGCTTCTTGTGACATCTCAAGCTTGGCTTAAATTTTAATACTATATTTTTTTGGTAAGATATATATATATACAAGACTTAAAGGTATAAATAAAAGAGACTTTAAAATGTTGAGCTTGAGCAGAAAGTGAAACAAGCCAAAAGCCACTGGTAACAGGCAAATTTAAGAAAAGTTATATATAGATTGAGTGAGTGAGAGAGAGGGGGAGAGAAAGAGAGAGAGGAAAGCCAAAAGCCAGCAGACAGTTAAACTCTTTTTTTACCACTACAATCAATTAAAACATCGACGTCTATCAGCATTATTATAAATCAAACGATAACATAAAATTGACACTAAAGGCGTTTCGCCCATTTTTCATGCGACGACGAGATTAAGCCTCCAAATTGTAGATTGTAGCTCTAAGAAAATTAAAAATATTCAAAAAAAAAAACACACCTAGCTGAAAAGTGTGCCCGAAAAAAAAATTAATAAAATGAAAAAACCAGAGCTGTGCTTTGTTTTTATATATGCAAATTGAACGTTGGCCAAAACTAGACGGGAAAAACTGGTCGGCACGCCAAAGTGCTTGGTAATTGATCAATTTCCGTGGCGGACAGACCGGAATATCTAAAAACCCAATCGAACTGGCAACAGAGCTGCACTGGCCGATCGGAAGATACTATGTAATAGCTGCGACTTACCAAAGTCTCTACATAGTTTCATAGGAGTTTATTTGCTGATCCACTTTGCAACTCTAATAAGACAGCCTGACTAATGGACTGTCTTCTCTGAGTGTTACATTGGCTAGCACACAGTCGGAATACCCTCTCTTACAGACATTCCATGAGTGCAGGGTATGCTGGAAACGAAACGCATTCAAGACCCGCAGATGATAATATGATGGTCACTTGATTTTCAAACTGATTTATGCATTAAAATGATTCGAAGAGTAGGCACGAGATGTAGCTCTAAATATATATATATATCTCGATTTTTGGCATAATGAAATGGCGCTTCATATGGAAGACAATGGCTCAGCATGGATTACCATTTAAAGCGAAGCTTTCGACGGTTGTGGGTGCATGGGAATTTGTATTTGCGTTTGTGTTTGTGTGCGTTGCACATCTGCTCACCTACGCAGCGACACTTTCCACTCGAGTGGAGAGCTGAGTGTGAAGCTGAGCGTGGCGCTGTGTGCCAATCAGACGCACTCAGCCAAAGTGCCAATCAAGTGTACCTGATGCTGGCAGTCGGCAAACAGGACAAAAGGATCATAACACCACAGTGACCCGGGCCTGAAATCGAAACCTTGTCCGCTAGGTGTCAATAACATTGTGTCGCCTGATTGCATTCGGGCTAGAGATGGCACCCCTCATCGGCGATTATTGCCACATGACACGACACGACACGACACATGACTTTAAACACGATTTTACTTAACACGCAGCGCGCGCTGTCCGTGCTATGATTAATCGACACGCACGACTTTTCGATGTCTACATTAAAAGTTGTTCGAGTTCATATATTTTATTTGTTTTGAAAGCATGCAAATCTTTAATCTTTTCCTGTTCGTATTACAATATGAAGTATTTCCAGATCTGTGGCTCTATAATGCGCTTAGAAAACTTTATTAAATATTATTCCTTGAAGCGAAAGCTGTGTTTTATTTAAAGTCTCTATTTATAAAAGCTGTGTCTTTACTTTTAAAGTTGGAATCTAATGAAAATGAAGGCTTCTCTTGCCAGTCTTTGTATGCCTAACCAGGAGCAAGCAGATGATCTATGTACTCAGCGCTCGAGTTGATCTCGTGTGAAGTTGCGCTAGAGCCTAACAAGTCTTATGAGAAAGCTAATGCTAGTCGTACTTAATTTCCAGGTGGGCGATTCCTGCTGGACTTGTGTCAGGTGTTGTCAAATGGTTTCTGAGTTTTCTTAGGCGCAACGTGACTCACGAATGTGCGTGACATTCGCAGTTTTTTCGTGTCATACGACACGGTGCGTGCTCCACCTTTTGCTTGATTGGGCTTGGGTCCTTTCCACTGCTTGATTGCTGGTCTGGTGGTGCTTTTTCTTCTTCTTCTGGCTTTTATACAAGGCTCGAAAGTATTCCAATTTAATTGCGTAAATTAAAGCTGTAAATCATTATGCTAAGTGCCCCTTAATGTCTCAAAATGCAGCTCATTTGCAAGTGCGCACAGTTCATGTTGC